GGGTATAGATGCAAGTTCGCACTGTGACTGGGTACAGCCGGTATTCCCATCTTTAGGCGGGGTACAGTTGCAATTTCCCCTAAAAATTAGGGTGGCGAATCTCTCCACCTTCTAGCAGATTCATTCTTATTTTGCTCATTAGGTGAATGGTTGAGCGAGGCCCTCAGTCTCCAGTCCGTCGTAATCTCTCGTTGTACTCGCTACTGTGCACAAAACTTTTTTTTCTTTTTTCTGGACTGTGCGCAAAACTCAATCACACCCCAATTCAATCTGTTCAATAAAAAAAAAAAAGCCTCGCCCTTCTGGACGGCCTCCTCCTCTCGCGCAGCAGAATTGAAAAAAAAAAGCGGGAAGCTTTATTTCCCCCCCCCTTTTTCTAAAGACAAACCTACTTGAGCCCAAGGGGTAAAGAAGAAAGGACACACAAAAACAGACAGAAAAAAAAAAAGAAAAAAAAAAGAAAAAAAAAGAAGAAGGAAAAAAAAAACAAAACAAAAAAAAAAACAGACAGAAACATACATCTATACATATGGCGCGACATTTCCAACTCTGCGGACAATACAATGATCACAGGCCACGTCGTTTGCCCAGATATGGCACGACATTTCCAACTCTCTCTCTCCTCTCTCTCTCCCCTCTCTCTCTCCTCTCTCTCCCCAGGGGSTAAAGGAAAAGGACACACAAAAACAGARAMAYWWAAAAWMTMTACATACATGGCACGACATTTCCAACTCTCTCTCTCCTCTCTCTCCCCAAGGGGTAAAGGAGAAAGGACACACAAAAACAGACAGAAATATACATCTATACATACATGGCACGACAATTCCAASTCCTCTCTCCCCTCTCTCTGTCTCTCATCTCCCCACGTGAGTCCAAACAGCTCTCCCTCCCTTCTTAACCTCTGCGGAAGCCACAATGATCACAGGCCACGTCGTTTGCCCAGATATGGCAACGTGGCAAGGCCATAGCTGCCATTCGTGGGCGGCTATAATATGTAGGGCAAACAATACTGCCCCACCTGGCAGCTGTCCGATTAAGATTTGTAGCACTGTATATGTTGTCAAACAGAGCTGCCCGGTAAACCGTAGGCAGCAGAGAGGGGGAGGAAGAAGAGGACAACAAACGAGGGGCTGGGGCTGTGGCAAACTGTTTCGTCGGAGTTTCACCGACTACATATATATCTTCACATAAATATCAGATATATACACATTCTCTCTCTCTCTCTCTCTCTCTCTCTCTCTCTCTCTCTCTCTCTCTCTCTCTCTCTCTCTCCCTCTCGCTCGCTCGCTCGCTCGCTCTACACACTCATATTCTGAGAGAGTCGATCAATACATGGCCGTCTATGGACGCCGCTCCACTGCTCACCAACTGTGTAAATGAGAACGAATCTTTCGCTAGAACATCGAAAGATGCACCGCCATAATTTCTGTCTTTTGTGCATGTGATGAGCAGCGGAGCGAGGCCCTRTAAGAGATGGATTGCTCCTTCTCCTCTTCCAATATGCGGCATTGGGCTAGAGAGGATCCTCCCCTRTTGCATGTACTGTTTTCTTCTCAGCTGATTTCTTTTTTATTATCGAAAGTGTAAATTACATGAATTGTAGACCCTACCACCAAGATAAGCTCCACTACCGTGTTCCCTCGAATAGAACGAGCAGTCACTGTCGCTATACCTAGACTGGAAGTCGCCCTAAAAAAGTACAGAAATAGTGGCAGTGCGTTCTAATCGCGGGAAGCCGAATGATTAGGCTGTCTCCTACTCTAGTWCCTAAGTCTCGACTACCGTGTTCCCTSGARTAGAACGACCAGTCGCTGTCGCTATATCTATTAGACTGAAAGTCGCCCTAACAAAGTATAGCAGTAATGAAAAAGTGCGTTCTACTCGTGGGAAGACGAATGATTAGGCTCTCTCCTACTCCAGTACCTAGTCTGTTAAGCTCCAMTACGGTCTTCCCTCGAAATACAACGAGCAGACACTGTCGCTMTATCAACACAGAGRGTCGCCCYAAAAAAAATACAGCAATAGTGACAGTGCGTTCCACTCGTGCGAAGACGAATGATTAGGCTCTGTCCTACTCCAGTACCCGTCTTCRCCCGAATAGAATGCCCAGTCATTRTAGCCGTATTTGGTGCAGTTTCTAGTCCAGATACCGCTATAAAGACCSGCCGTTCTATACGGGTGAACACGGTAGTCTGTTTCGGACACTTCGGGCTACTCAACTTCGCTGTAATTAATTAATTACAAGTCTTACAGAACTAATCAAGCGACCACTTCTGTTTTGAAATATAAAGCGACAACTCGAAAAAAAAWAAAAAAAAAWAAAAAAAAATAAATCAAAATTGTGATCCCTAATCACATCATGAGCTCCACAAAGCACCGTCTTCAACCCCCCCCCCCTCCAACGGTGATTATCGCTGTCGTATGTGGACTGAAAGTTGCCCCACGTACAGCAGCTATAATGATCGACGTACGTTCTAGTGGGAGAAAGACGGTAAGGTTACTAGGCTCTCCCTCGCCCCCTCTCTCCAGTACAAAACTTTCTTTTTTTTTTCGAGTCGCAATGACTTTTGGATTACACACAGTCGACAATGTGTAGAACTAATCAAAATTGTGATCCCTAATCATCATGAACTCCACAAAGCACCGTCTTCACACCCCCCCCCCCCCAACGGTGATTATCGCTCGCCGTATGTGGACTGCAAGTTGCCCCACGTACAGCAGCTATAATGATCGACGTGCGTTCTAGTGGGAGAAAGACGGTAGGTTACTAGGCTCTCCTCCTCACGTACCTAACCCGTTTGGAGGCTTCCTTCAAGAGAACGTCCCGGTAATGGTCGGGACGGTACTCAAAGGACTTGAGTGTGGGGCTTGTGACAGCTAGGTGCTTGACCGTARAGAACGCAATACGAGCACCAGCGATGGCTAGATGCTCAAGCGAAGGACAGAAATGTCCAAGTTTGTAAACGATGGCATCACTTACCTGGGCAAATCCTGTGAGTCGCAGCGAAACGAGAAGGGGGCAGCAGCTGAGGAAAGCAAGGARTTCTCCCTCGAAATCKCCGAAAAGCGCTCTCGGGTCCGAATAGAGATGAAGGCTGCGTAAGGACCGCCCGACTYGAGAGAGACAACGAAGGAAAGGCCCACAACACTGCCAAGCGGGAAGACGAGGCTCMMAACTAACATACTGATCCCTGACATACTGCTTGCTCCTGCTCCTCTGCTCTCGCTCTTCGTCGGACTTAGCGTCACGTCGACACATGTCCTCCGTAAGTTGCACTAGCTTGAGCTTTCGCGCCARAATCGCTTGTCCCCACCTCGATTCCATGCACTCCGCTCGTTCCCCATCTAACAAGGGATCGAACACTCGTAAACCCACCTCCTCCAGACATGGATGATGCTCAAGAAGTACCTCTAAGCTTCTCAAAGATTCCAACGAGGGGTAGGTGCTGACTGCTCCTCCTCCCCCTCCTCCTCCTCCCCCTCCTCCTCCTCCTCCTACTCCTGCTCCTACTCCTACTATTGTTCCTCTTCCTCCGACCAATGATCCGTAGAGCAGGAGCTTAGTAAGTCCTGCTGTGCGAGTTCCCCGGCAGCCGAGAGAAGACAACGCGTTGTGTGTGACGCTCGTATCGTCGAAACAAAGCTCGCGCAACTGCCGCCCGCCTTCCGCCGCCAAAACCCTAACGGATGCATCTGTCACGTATCTGCAGCGGGATGCATTAAGAACTCTCAGATCAGAACAACCCCTCACCGCCGCAGCAATCCCCCAGTCGGAGACCCGCGTCCCACTAACATCGAGTTTCCTTAGCCCAGCACTCTCTAACACRGCCGATTGAAGMTGAGGATCGCCGAAATACACGCTATCTATCACGCACAGAGATGTAAGGTTTGCACGTCTAGTACAACCRAAAAGGGAAACCCAGAGATTCAAAWAGCGTGAGRTGGTGAACCAGTCACTCGCCSTCAGCGCCAATGACGATAAGAGAGGGMAATCGCCATCTTCTTCTCCTAATAACCCATCGAAGGCAGCAGGATTGAAGCCGGACAGAGACAGGTTGCGCAGCTGCTTGCACCCAGCGAGGACCCGGACGGCAGAGCTACAAGCCTCGGAATCGCATGAACTGCCTACGGTAATAGAGAGATCGGTTAATCCACTGCATCCATTGACTAAGGCAATCATGGAGGGCGCGGTTATACAGCTGTAGGCCCAGCAGACAGAGCTGGAGAGATGAAGCGTCTTCAAGTGCGGACAGTTATTGGCAATGCTGAGGACAGCCAATCGATCAAGATTACAATCATTATAACCCAAGGAGATATCACTACCACCCTCCTCCTCCTCCACCTCATGCCTAGAGGAGGAGCTCGCTCGTCTTCCCTCCTCTTTTTCGTCTGCGACTCTCTTTTTCTTCTCCCCCTCCTGCAGCTGCGCCTGCTTCTCCTCCGCTCCATTGCTATCCTTATCACCCTCCTGCCCCTCCTCCTCATGCCGCCTAGACGAGGAGCTCGCGCCTCTTCCCTCCTCTTTTTCGTCAGCAACGCTCCCTTCCTCCCCCCTCCTATCCTGCTGCTGCGGCGCCTGCTTCTTCTCCTCCGCTCCATTGCTATCCTTATCACCCTCCTTATCATCATCATCATCGCTAGAAGAGGACGTCCCGCCTCTTTCCTCCTCTTTTGCGTCTGCTGCGACTCTCTCTTCTTCCTCCTCCCCCTCCTCCTCCTGCTGCGCCTGCTTCTCCTCGGCTCCGTCGCTGTCATTATCACCCTGCTCCTTACCATCATCATCGCTACAAGAGGGGCTCGCGCTTTTTTCCTCCGCCTCTTCGTCTGCGAATCTCTCTTCATCCCCCCCCCCCCTCTCCTGCTGCTGCGGCACCTGCTTCTCCGCAGCATTACGTCGTCCTCTCTCCATTGCTCCGTCCCCGACACCGTCCACAGTCCGCTCTGCTGCGTCTCCATTATTCTCGCCATCGCCGCCGTAGTCATCCTCCTCAACGCGATGATGACAGTGTCCCGTGCGCTCCTCTGCACGGAACRACCGATGCAACTCGCCGCCATATCTTCCTCWTCTCGCAGCATTCTCTGCTGCAACGTCACCCCCATTCAGCTCATGTAGATGGTTCCACGCCATGTTTAGGTGGTTCACGGCGTTAATTAGGAGATCATCAACTCTACTYAAGAGACTCGCAACGCCGTTTAGCCGGCTCGCAGCCTCGTTGAGACGGTCTGCGGCCGAAGCCGAAGCCGAAGCCGAAGCCGMMGCCGCCAAAGCGGCAGCAGGATCACCACCATCACGACCTACGCGTCCATCCGCATCATTACCACCGTTTCCCCTCAGGAGGACCGCCTCCCTCTCTCGCCGTTCCACTTCATTACTACTAGGTTCTCTTKCCGCCTCGTCAGCGCTTGCATCACCATGTACTGCTCCTCCGTCGGTCGTTGTGGGACCGGCATCATCATCGGCTGCTTCTCCTTCGCTCATTGCAGAAGCGGCCTCATGAACGGGCTCCACGACAGGATCAACCAGCGGATATGAAGGAATAGGGGGAGGAATAGGTTGATCACGACCGGGGGGAGGAGGCAGTGGCCCGTGCCATATCCTCCTCCTCACCACCCAATTAGGATGTTCTCCTCCCGCTCCTCCGTCGCTTGGAGCGGACGCGCCATCGTCTTCATCTTCAACAAGCCGAGGAGGACGTGGAGGGTGAAAGGGAAATGGGCCAGGGCGAGGGCGAGGGCAATGAAGCGGTGGCAGCCACATTCTGAAGACTGAATAGATGCTGACAAGCTCTTCTTCCTCTTCCTTCTCATCACCCTGGCCCTCGCTTGAGGATTCACCCTCTCGTTCTTCTCCTACGTCATCGCTTGGCGCACCCGCTTCAGCGCCACCACCCCGCCCCTCCCTTTCCACCTCCATTCTTCCTCCTCCTTCTCCTCGCCCTCCTCCTCCTCCTCCTCCTCCTGCTCCTCCTCCCTCTGCTGCTTCATCTTCCTGCCCGGAAGGGTAATTACTTTCTTCTCCTTCTTCATTTGAACCGCCACCACCATCAAACCTGCGAGGAACTGGAATACGAACATAGGGAGAGGGCGGCAACACCCACACCACGGAGTGGGTGTCAAGTACGAAATCGTCCAGCTCAGTTGCCTCTTCGCCAAAAGAGGTSYCTGCAATGAGGGAAGAAGGAATCCGGTCAGGAAAGGGGGAGAAGGGGGATCGAGGGTCAGGTTGTAARAAGGGGAAACGACGAAAAGAGTCCGGCGAGGTGATGTTGCCAATTGACAAGTGTTCTAATTGCGGGCAAGATTTCAACAACAGATCCAGCCGCCSCTGGTGAAGTGCACCAAACACAGACCAAAGTTCTAARCGCCTGAGGTTCGTTTGCCCAGCACAAACAGCAATCATCCCCTTCGTAGTACAGTACTGAAGSATCAATGTCTCTATGCCACCTCTGCTMAGCTCTCCCAACTTCTTCAACATCGCATCCGCACGACGAGGGATCGAACCACCACCGAGAAGGACGGGTTTGCGCCACCCGTGCAGCAAAAGCCCTTGGCTCTCCGCCCACTCCCTCGTGTCGATCTCTAGAAAACACTCCGGCTGTCTGGCCACCCTCAACCACTGACGACATACACAAGGTGCACTGAACACTCTGTCAATCAATGGAAGCTTCGTCAGAATGTTCAGTAGCACATCATCTCCCAGCTTCCCCATTTCCATCTTCACCCCGCCAATCTTTCTCACACTTTCCATTCTCTCTCTCTCTCTTTCTCTCTCTCTCTCTCTCTCTCTCTCTCTCTCTCTCTCTCTCTCTCTCTCTCTGCGTGTGTGTGTGTGTGAGTGATTTTTCTTTTCCCCCCTCTTTTGTGTGTGTGAGTGGGTGTGCAACTGATTTTTTGCGCACACTTGCTTGGATACGTTCGGCAGATGCCGAGTGACGTTCTTTCCCTCCGACACGACAAACAGTGGAGATAGAAATCTATTGTCACAGATCTGTGAAGCACAACCCGCAACAGGTATTGGGGTTAAAAAGAATTAGCCTTTTTTTTTTTTTTTAAATCGGGTAACCTTCCGCTTCGATCATTCGGCTCCTGCGCGAAAGCATTGGATGCATCCTCCTTCCAAGCCGGCTCCCGCTCCGCTTACTTGTGACAACTCACCATGGTAGAGTGGGAATCTCACAGCAGCAAGAAGAGTGCTTGCCACGACGGCACCAACAAACGTGTGTTTGTATCGTAACGACAATGGCGAGCCATTCGSAACGGTGACGCCGTTCAAAAAACAATCAGACAAACAAGCAAAGAACAATACTGTCTTTTAGATCAGGGCCTCGCTCCACCGCTCTACCAAAACAGGGACCGGGGGCAAGGTCCCACTTGCACGGATTAGGAGATTTCGGCCGTTGATCTGGGCTATCTACGGTCTCTATCTCTTGATTCGTCCAAGTGGGACGTAGCCCCGGCATCCACCACTCGCCAAGGGCGTAGTTGCACTACGATACATCCGCCAACATTGTGAATGCATCAGGACAGATCCGCTTTTCAGATTCATTCGCAATTTCCCCCAAACCTGGCCGGTCACCACACGGCCGTCCAGACGGGCGCAACTGTAGTGAGCTGAGTGGAGCGACGCATCTTTTGTTTTTTTTTTTTTTTTCGGAAGAATAGTTTTATTTCCAAGAGAACCGGAGGCCGGGAAAACCTCCACGTGACAACCCGGAGGAAAAACTGGGGCCACTACCCAGCTTGGGCTGGCTGGAAACCGGGTCCAGCGTCCCATAAAACTAACTTCCATATCAAACCAGATTAGAAACTGGACTAAATGCTCCCAAAGAGCAAAGAGTACCCGAGAGCGTAGCTCAGTGGGTACACCCGTAAACTGTTGAAATACAGACCCGAGTTCAAATCCAGATGATGGAACTTGATGAGTAAAACAAATATGTATGAATTGCCTGGTGATATCTCAAGGCCGTTGCCCTTTTTTTTTTTTTTTTTTTTTTGAAAACAGCAAAGAGTAGGCTAAAAACTAAACCTAGACTACCAAACTAGCAGAGATTTATGAAAATGGGAAGATACAGTGGAAGAATTGGGCTGAAGAGGACAACACATGGTCCTACAGAACAATGGACTGTTT